GGCCTTGGCGTAGTTGCTCACGAACTGGTCCTGCAGGAAAGAGCCGGCCATGGCGTAGCGAGCCCCGGGCACGATCTGCGAGCGCGGCGAGTCGTTCGGCGAGGGGGTCAGGCGGTCCATGTCACAGCCGGTGTAGATCCTGCGGGGTAGGGAGAGAGAGAGAGAGAGAGCCGAGGGGTGGCGCGGAGGTCCCTTGGGGTGGGGGTGGGGGCAGAAGGGAAGGCCACCTCCACTTTTCGCCCACCCCCACACCCTCCATCTACAAACTTGCAGTTCAGAATTTCCTGGAGAATACAAGAGGCCACAGACCTCTATCATTCCCAAAATAAATCATGGTATTATGAAGGAGCCAATCTGTCTATGCAGGGACCTGAGCAAGATGCAGACCATCAAGGGAACGACTTCCTTCTTCTCTTGCTCTCGTCAAGTATACTGGGGTACTGAGAGAGGGGCACAAGCAAGGGCTTTCATCCCACTTCTCCAACATTTGTGTGCACATTAAGGCAGATTTACCTAGGGACTAAGATGCTCTTTGCCCATTGGGCCTTTCCTCTGCAGTCAGAGTTTCTGGGTGAAATTTCTAAACAAGGTACTCACTCCTCCACCCTTTTAAGACCTATGTCCGTTTGATTGTTCAGGTCATTTCTCTCCTTTTTCTAGATTGTTTCAGAAACCCCTAAGGAAAAGCCGCACACGCAGAAATCATCAAAGACTGATCTTCACCCGTGTTCTGGAACTCGAGGTTTGCTGCTGGAAGCCTGCAAGGTACTTAGTGTCTATTGTTTCCCCTGTGTGAAACTTTCACTCCCACGTCTATTAATACAAACAAGAATTACTACTCAGAAACAGTAGTCATCAATCAGAAATATTCTCTTAAAAGAAAAGGTGTTCTTTACTCCGACCTGCTTTTCCTAGCTTTTAGTCCATTACGGCAGAAACTTCGGGGCAAACCTACGGTGCAAACCTACTGTGCACTTACCAGCCTACTCCGTGCAGTGGACCACTAATAATAGCTAACCTTTACGGAGCTTGACTATATGCCAGGCATTGCGAGCTAGATAACTTTTATTATCCCACTTTACCGATGAGGAAATTGAGGCAAAAGGACGTTAAATAACTTGCCCAACCACCGACAGTGATTGTGTTGTTGGGAATTACCTTAGATAAAATAATCAAAGATTAACTTTAGGCCCTGGGCCTAGAAAATCACATTAGAATTGAGAGGAAAGCAAGGGTTGGATGAAGATTGGTAGAAGTGTTTTCTCATACACATGCACACATGCCTCCCTTTTTATTTAGCTCACACATAAATGTTTTAATCTTTAGTCAACAGACTGTTTTGAAGGAGAACCTCAGTCTTGTCAGACCTTAATCCTTCAGGGAGGAGATTCCCTGGTGAGTGGCCAAGCAAGCTCCTAGTACCCCATGAACCCTTATACTTCTCCCTCTTTCTCCAAAATTGAGCCATGCCCAAGTAACCAATGTAAAAGGGGAAAGGAAGAGTGTCATAAACCAGTCAACTCTTCCCTATCCCCTAAAGATATCAGGTGTTTTTTTGTTTTGTTTCTTTGTTTTGCTTTGTTTTTTTTTTGTAGAGGTAAAGAAGTTTTTATGAAAAATTTAAATTGATTTAACATCAAAGAGGAGTGGCTTTTCCAACAGAAGGCAGCCAGAGGAGGAGGGGCATGTGAGAGTTTTGCTGTGGCTGCTCAGGTCCATTCTGTTTAGTGCACAAAATTTCCCTCTTGAAATTGAATTCCAGTTTCAAATAAGAGAAGTAGAGGGAGGCAGGAAGGGAACATAACTAGCAAGGTGCAAATATCTTCTCTGTTTATCACCACAATATTTTAAAAAGAAAAAAGCAGTCTGCAAAAGATACAGTTTAGATGCCCATCCAGGTCCCACCCACTTGGGATTGCTGAATTGATTTGTGCAAAATAAAATGCTTTTGAACAGATGTTCACAACAGAATTAAAATCTCAAAATCTACAGGACTCTCCTCCAACATCTCTAGTCTCTTGGGCCACACACTTTCCACTGTGCTGGGCACACCTTTTTAGATTGTGAGGAATAGAGTAGCCAAGTTTTTATTCTGGGGAATCATATTGATGAGACTTGCTTCCTTTGGAGTACTTTTGAAGAATATATATAGTGGTTATAGGCAGTAATATCAATGACTCTCTTTTAAATTATTAGAAAATATCAGGAGGGATAGTTAGTATCCGCTTGGAGATGGAATAGAGGCAGTCACTTGTCCCTTTCTCCACGCACATAATCTATGCTAGTCAAAGGCAGCTTCAACTTTTTAGCTCTGTCTCCGGCGCTCAATGTAAGCCATGAAATTAAGATGTATGTACCCTTTCCTTTTATGGTCAGAAAACATGGGGGAACCCCACAATCCAGAGTTAGATTTATAACACTATCTGAACTCTTAGGCACTGTGGACCCTGAGTGAGAATTGCAGAACAAGCCCAGAAAGCATTCAGTTTACACCTACTGTTGCCCCCAGAGAACAGCCTTTTGATACAAAAGAGGGAGGTAAGGGAGGCCTAAAGAAAAGGGCACCAGCATGTTTAATTAAAACACACCTAGATACAAAAGAAAGAGGAAAATATTTTTCTTTTGAAGTTTATAAATAATACACAGCAACACCGTCTGAATCTTTCCAAAAGCCTAAAATGACCATAACAGCGGTTCTGCTCACGAACTCGCCTGTGGTGGGTGCACATTTGTATTCAGTCCATGGTAAACTTGCACAGGAAATGCTATTACACAAAACTTGGAAATAGGTAAATAAAAGTCACATATGCTAAGGAGACTGGTAACAACTGCCAGAGGAGCCACATGCACTTTTAGGCAGAATTGCCCGTTTCAGACATAGACAATCTGAGCTGAGCATCTGCAGCGCCACATACAGTACTCGCATCCGGGAACCAGGGCAGCCTCCCCAGCCAGCCAGCCAGCCCCAGAGGCCCGCCAACAACTTTGTAATCCACAGGAAAGCTAAAATTAGGTGGAGGAAACCTCTGACCAAAAACCACACAAGTACCAAGCCACAAGGTCACCAGAGAGAAGGGGAGCCAACAACAACAACGACGACCAAAAAAAAAAAAAAAAAAAGAAGAAGAAGGAGGAGAAGAAAGGGAAAACCTCTAAAACAACCTTGTCTTCACACATTCCAGCTTTCAAAATCCTTGTACATAATAATCCACCTTTGACCTAAAGCCCAATTCCACAACTATTTGAAAAGGAAGATACAAAATTACTTACGTGTCATAATTATCCCGAAATCCTTTTGCAAAGGGGTTGTGATCTATTTTCAGTTGTGTAATCTGGCAAAGAAAAAAATGAATGTTATCTCACCTTTTTTACATGAAGACTGGGTGTTTGAGAATATATCATCTGCCACTTTTACAGGGGCTTAAGGCCTACAATTTATTAAATAGCAAGGTTTTCCTAACTGAAAAATTTGAGGGATTGAGTGGAAAGGAAGTATCATGAAAGTTATGAGGAACATGTTTAAATAAACGAGACCTATAACTAAAGGACTGCTTTCAGTTAGCTCTCCTATTTTTTCTAAATTGATTCAAAATCACATTTTTAAAATGCTTGTTACAGTGTACTTATTCAGACAAAAATCTTTAAGGAGAACTTGAATTCATCACTAAATGTTGACTATTTTAAGTATTTTATATTTTAAAACATTTGTCGTTTCTGACTCACAACCTGAGAAACCACAAGTTGCATCTTAAAATCAGGTTGGATTTAAAAACATGTTTTAATTTCTGATATTATCATTTAAGTAAAAAAAAAAAGACAAACACAAAAACTCCTATCACTCCTAGTAGTCAAATCAGCCACTAAAATCAGTTTTTGCAAACTTGCAAAATCGGAAGAGGTTCAAGTGCTAGAAAGCTCAATCCATAGCCCTTAGTAATTTGATTTATTGTAGTTTTCACATATATGAATGTGTATGTTCTTTTGATCTCCCAGAACAGTGATGTTTGTTCATTTCAGCCATCAGTTCTGAGATGGAAAAAAAAAGAGAGAGAGAGAAATTTTTTTTTAGATGCCAAAGCTTGCCAAGAATAAAATGCACGGGGAAATCTGCTTGTTTTCTAAAGGAAAGAGAGACTTAAAAAAAAAAAAAAAAAGTAGATTTTAATCTGTTCTAGTTCGAATCCCAAATTAAAACTCCCAAAAGAAGAGTCTTTAGAAATCCTGGCCACCTCAAAGGTGGCCCGGGTAACCCGCGACGAAAACAAATAGAAAGCATTTTCCCACCGGCTTCATGTTTAGGAAAGGTGCCGTGGGCAGGCCCCTAGCCCTAGGCCTTAAAACGCACAGCGGAGCCAGCTGTTGCTGATGTTAGCGCTGCTAGTACCCTAGACCTGCATGGCGGGAGGATGTGAGAGGGTAGGAGAGAGATGTCTGTGCCGCCCGCCTCGCGCCCAGCCCCTAGGTCTCCTTACATCCGTGTTCTGGTAGGCGGTGACGGCGATGAACTGAGTCTCAGGGAAAGTGAATGTCTGCACGCGGCCAGGCTGGCTGGTGTCCTCCGTGCCGTCCTCGTTCACTTCCACCACATGCAGGCGGGGCTGGTACTTGTGCAAGGACTGTAAAACCACCATCTGTCCGGCGGAAAGAAAGGGGAGCGCCGGGTGGCGTGTTAACGCGATCGCTGTGCGCGTGGCTGTGTGCGCCCCGCTGCGCGCCCGGACTGGCGGAGGCAGCCTGCAGCCAGCCTCCCAGGCTCACTGACCGCGGAACTCGCCTGGCTGGCGGCTGACTGGCTGGGGCAGACCGGCCTTCGCACCTCTGGGAGCGAAGATAAGCCGGGGCACCGGAGAAAAGGGGGAAGCCGACCGCCCGATCCTCAGGGCCCTTCTCCTAGTCCTCCTGTAAGGAGGAACAAAGATTTCCACAACCTGCAGATCTTGTGGGGTTTCTTCTCAAAATCAATCAGTATTAGTACTTGGGAAGGTCGGGCACTCCAAAATTGGGCCGACGGGGGTGTTGTCAATGAGAACAACTTCATAAATTTAACATAAATTTGGAGGGTGGAAATCCAATTTTTAAGTCTTTTTAATGAAGCAAAGAAACGTGTATCCAGTTCCATATGCTGCTTTGCACTGACGAACTGGATGTCAGGGAGGAAGGGGTGAGAGAGAACACGAGCACTTGAGCCACTGACCTGCCCATTGTTATTTGAAGCTCCTTTGTTGTTCGTAAGTTTTAATTTTCCAAAAGAGATTTCTTGGCGCATCCAGTGAGCCCCAGTGTTGGGGGAATCCGGATGCATATAGACCCGATTTCCTAGAGAAAGAAATACGTTGTTTACATATGCCCCCGGCACTGCCCAGTCCCAGCTCCTCACCACGTAGGACACACACACACACACACACACACACACACACACACACCTTACTCCACCGTGAAGCCCATTAGCTGGGGCTTTTTTAGGCCGTTCTTTCTTCCTATTAACTGGGGGTGATTAAAATAGCTTTTGCATAATCCTCCCCCTTCTCGCAGCTCAGTCTGTCCCCCTGTCCCCCTCGTTTCCTTTTAGAAGTCATTGGCCGATCGTTTTAAAAGTCGCTCGAGCCAGTCCACAAAGGCTTTAATTAATCATTCTCACCTAAATAAGTGTCAAGAAAATGTGTTAATTGGAAGGACTTGCCTTGCACATTGGTGTCCGCTTTGCCGCAAGGAACCCATTTGCCTCCTTGAAACCTCCAGTGATTGGGATCCGCCAAAATCACATCCACAAAAATATTGTAATGAGCCGTGGGATCGAGACCAGAAATGTTAAAACTTAAAAAAGGAAACATGCGCCTATTTAAATTAAGGGGTGGGGGGAGAAAACAAGGAAAAAAGAAACATAAATGTTAAAGATTAAATGCAAGAAGCGGGGCGCCAGATAGCAAAGCAAAACTTGTTCTTGCAGCAAATAGGGACGAATATTTGATGGGTTAGAAAAAGGGTGGTGGGAGAAGAAAAGAAGTGCAACCCAAATCAGGGAGAGCGGCGGGTGAGCTGGAGTGGGAAGGCGGCAGGTATCACTGCCCAGGTGGAGAGAGAGGTTGGCGACCTGCGTCTCCACCTGTCCGTGCATGCCAGTGTTGATGCGTCCCTCCCATCGCCCAGCCGCTGGCCGGGGCTCTTCCTTTTTCTTGCCTTCCTCTGGCCACTGACTGGCTCTCCAACCACGTACCTAGAACGGGGTGCCCCCCACCAACATCCCCGTGGCGGTTATCCCTTCCACTTTCCCCCTTTCCAAAACCAGCCAACTCTAGGGCGCCTTCCACTCCGCTCCCGACCCCAAATCGTCGCTGCCGCGGCAGTCACAACCTAGGTGCACTTGTCCCCGGCTGCGCCTGGAGCAGCGGCAGCCAAAAATGTAGTATTACCTTCCCTGTTTGGTGATGATCATCTCCGTTTGGTGCCGGTGAAATTTCAGCCAAAGAGGCCTGTTGCACAGGTACACCTGTGCTTTGCCGGGCACCAGCCCCGGCTGGGTGGAGGAGAACTGGTAGAACGGAGCTCCTTGGTAGGAGTGGCTGTACTGCTGTGGGTAGGGGTAGCCGGCCGTGGGGTATCCCTGCGGCGAGGAGTTGGACAGGAGGCTGTTGTAGGCTCCGTTGGTGATGACCGGGTGGTGGGCCATGTAGCGGCTGGGGCTGCCGATGGAGAAGGCGGGGTGCGCCGGTCCGTGCTGGCCGGGGTACGGGAACATGGCACTGGGAGCAGTGGCCGCAGACTGTGGCTGGCTGGACTGAGAGAGGAGGTAGCGATCTGCAGCAGAGCCATCGAAACTGTGACGAAGCTCAGAGACCCCGTCCAAGACAGGAGAGAGTTTACTTCTCTGGACGTCCCCTGGTGAGTCCTTGGAGTCAGGAAAATTGTCTGTATCTGACTGATTCGTCATCCCCCTGGTAATTTTTTTCAAAGGTGAACTTCTCTCCAGGTTGTCAGTGGTCGAGATAATGGGATGATCGTGCAAGACAAGCTCGGATCCGCCTGAATGTGGGTAGCTGCTGCTCACATTGAGAAATTTCTTGGAGAGCATGATAGAAGGAGAAAGGCAGTGCTCCAGCTGCATAGCTCTAGAACCTGAACACTCGCCCTCCCGTCCCTGGTTTTTAAAGTCCTATTTATCATAAACTAGAAATCCACAGACCCCCTCACTAGACAGAAAGCACTTCAACCAGCAAATGCTTCTCAAAGGTTTGATTTACTTTTTTTTTCCCTGGGAGAAGAGATTGGCCAATTGACACTATGCAGCAATCAGAAAAGGCTCACTTTTGATCTTGCTGCTTGTGCTGCCGATGAAACGGCTCCTGCCATTGGTTAACTGCTGACAGTAATTTAATTAGATAGACATTAATTAGGATAATCACCTGGCTCCTGGTAGCGACGATCATGGCAAATTGAAGGGGATGATTTTATTGTTGGCTTGGGGGGTGGGGAATGTGTGTTGGTTTACGTGAGCACTGTTGTGTCACCTTTAAGCTTTGTGACCACTGCTTTAGGAAGATTCAAAGATGTGCAATTTACTAAACATTTCCTACCTTCCCCCCCTTCCCCCATTTAGAGCGGAGGGGCGGAGGAGGGAATTCGACGATGCTAGGAGACTTTTCGGATCTGAATGAGCCAAATATTCAGTTGAATGTAACGATTTCAAGTGCAAAGTATACAAAGCGCGAGCCGGTGGCCTCTTCTCGCCCTGTAAAAGTTCCAGAGTCTGTCTTTTCCAGCTAATACAAAAGCACACAACACCTGAGCTGGTGCTTTGTGAGCAGGTCCTACGTGTCCTCGGCGCCCCCACCCCCACCTTTTAAACTGCAAACATAAATAAATAAATCCCTGCTGCTGAGAGCCACAGCGACAAGCAGAAGGGGGGGAGAAGAGGGGGCGAAAAGCAGCAACTCACCCACCAATCCACCCACCTCAGGAAGGTTCGGTTTCTTGTTTGAGCACAGAAACAGTGACAATCTATGATCTCCTTTTTAAGTTTTGAAATAATCATAAGCTGTGGGGCTAAAATGCCTTAATGTATTTGCAGTGATGTTTACCGGGTCTTTACTAAATATTTTATCAGCGAACTTGGTTGCAGATTATCTGAAGAGCATCTAACTGGGGGTAGGCGCCATGCATCCTTCTCGTCCCTCTGCATATCCTTCTCTCTGAGGTACTGGCTTGGCGACAGGTTCAAAAGCTTCGCCAGGAAAAGAGAGGGCCGAGTCCCCGTGCAAATGGGCTCGTCAGAAGCGCTGATCTGGGGAGACAGAGTGGAAGTGGTGTCAACACAGTAATCGCTACTGAAAACGTGTGTGTGTGTGTGTGTGTGTGTGTGTGTGTGTGTGTGTTTAATGTTTATATAATCTGGAGGGGAGAAAAAGCATCCATGCCAGTAATTTTAAAAGGAAAAAGAATCTAAAGAGGAATAGAAAAAAACCAATTTAAAAGGATGTTGGCACAAATAAATAGCACGAGGCCCAAAGAGACCCCGAGGTGTAGGAAGGAGGTCTCTCAGCATCCGCTCTACAGAGGAGCCCAGCCCTCGGCCTGAGCCAGAGGGCCAACAGTGGCAGAGGCTTTTTATCTGCCCAAAACTGCCTCCCGCGGCCCGGCGCTCGCTGACCTGCCCTTCCGCGGCTTTCGTCCCGGACGCCGAGCCACGCGGGAATGAGCAAGAGGAGCGCCGCCCGGAGCTCCGCTCGGCCCCGAGAGCTGGCCGGCCCGAGGGCGGGCTCCGCCCGGGGGAGTGAGGGAGCGCTGGTTGAGCTGCGTCTGGTGCAGACCCCAGGGGCACACACTCTTTCCGTGCTGGAGGCGCGGCCTGGGCACCTCAGCCGGGGGAGCTTCTGGCTTCGAGTGAGCGCGTCTGTCCTACCCGTACCTGGGGCAGCTCCCAGAGTGAGAGCAGCGCTTGGGGACATTGGGTGGGGTCCTGAGCATGGGCGGAGACAGGTTAACCAGACTCGCCGCTTCGCCACTGTGGTGCATTTTCAGAGCAGCCCCTCGGTGGGCTGAGCGGTCAGCGCTCAGCCGAGACTGCGCCCCTCGAGGCGGGCTGGGCGCCTTGGCTACAGAGGGCACCAGCTGCGGCCTCCATCAGGGCGCCGCGGGCAAGGCCCTGCGCGGGCGGCCTGAACAGCGCAGGTTGATGACCAGATGTCCCAGACTAAAGCCGAGACAATTTTCTGGGATAAAAAGAGAGCCAGACCCATTTTTCCTTTCGAAAGCAAACCTCAGCTCTTGGTCAGGAAGCTTCATAAACAAGCAGTCTTAGCTGTTGAGTCGTTGGGGTGCGGGGGAGGGGAGTAGGGGATGCCATTTGACACTTGTTTTTCTGCCCTTGACCTTCTACCGCCATTTGCCTCATGAGAGGCTTTTGACCTCTTGACTACTTTTGGCTACTTTCGTTTCCGTCTTTCTCCCATCTTCAACTTCTCTGTCCCTGAGTGCCTCTCCCTCCGTTGCTTCGGAAAACAGTACTTTCCTCCGTTCTCAGTGGGACAGAGCCTTAAGTGTGTAAAGAGGTGAGACATCACCTGGGCTCTTTTTGAGGCTTTGCCATTCTGGACACCCTAAACTGCTTTTTTCTTTTCTTTTCTTTTCTTTTCTTAAAAAAAGGAAGAATGCTAAAATGAAATGTTAAGGTGTTAAAGGATAGAAAAGGGAAAGAGTGCACCTTCTTCAGAGTTTTTAAGGAATTGATGTGCTCTCTGACCCACTTTGGATTATCAGTAACAAATTCAGTGACTGCTCAAATATAGGCTATGCCTTGAATTTATATACACTAAGGAAAATTAAGGCTTTCCTCAGAATCACCACACGTGCCTGTGAACCATACTTCTAAAAGAAGGCCAGGGCTTCTCAAACCTTAAAGTGTATATGAACCACACCAGAATTCTTGATTATGATTCAATAGGCCTGGGGTGGGGCTTGCTTTCTGTATATATAACAAATTTCCATAAGACCCAGATGCTATTGGTCCAGGCAGATGACACTTTGAATGGTGAGGCCAGAGCTTTCAGTGCCGCCATACTAGTCTGAGAGAAAAGCAGGGACATTTCTGCACTAGAGACAAACAGTTTTGTTTCCAGAGCTGCTTTACCTCTGCATGGTGGAGGGGTAGATATGCTCACATAAGCATGCTTGAATGCGTGCACGTGTGTGCGCACACATAGTCTTAAACAGCTTCCTGAGTTTGTGATTAAACGCATCTTTTCAATGCCTAACTGGGCCTGGGACATCAGGCTGCTGTGAAAATAGCTGTACATTCCAAGACAAATGTGTTCACTGAGCCTCGCCTCTTAGGGCATCTTGATTTTGATCGACTCCAAATCTACAAAAATATAGGTTTTTGCTAGCAAAGATTTTGACAAGGTTCTGAAATTGGGAATGTCACCAACATGAACCAAGTGACAGTAAGTGGTGTGGCTACAGGGAGTCCAGGAAGATGGGGTGATCAAATAAGGGCAAAAACAGGCAAGGTAAGCCTTCCCAGTCACAGGATTCAGGATATTTTCAGAGGACTAAGTGGAAAACAAAAACAAAAAACCCTTTCAACCCACATATTGAGAAGAGTTCTTGAAATGTTAAGGCCTTCTTCTGAGGGCACTGTGCCCCCCAGAAATCACTGACTAGCACTCATTAACAACATCTGCGAAATAAGTTAGAGAATCTTATTTGTAAAGGGAAAAATCATATCCAAAAAGCCTGCACACACGTTTGAATTAGGCAAAATAAAACTTCACTAACTTCCACTTATATTTTAATTTTAAATGGTTAAATGTAATCCCAACAACTTTAATACATTTTACATGTCCTACATAAAATATACTGTCACTATATCTGAAACAATAAACCACAGGACAAGCAAGAAATGCTCAGAATACTTCTTATCCACCAAAAAAGATATTGTGAAACATACTGGGAATTTAAGCCATTTCTACTTTCAGTTTCTGGTAACTTCACTAGGCAACCAATAAGAGCCTAGACTTGTTCCAGTAGGACAGTAACTTGATCTATCACAGCACTCATAACAGTTCTAGTAGGTTAAGTTAAATTCCAAGTCCCCATGTAAAACCTTCCTTTAATGAAGCCTTAGTAATACTCTCACCACATTTTCACAAGCAAGGGTGCAGACTGGAATTAGATCTTTGTCTCTCTATCTTTTGCCATACTCCTTGGTATAATCGGTATGGTTCTGAACCGTAAGTAATAACAGGGGCAGTTACTTTTGTACATCACATTAGAAGTTGGTATTAGCCATTTTTTTTCTCTATTAGAAAGCTGGGTAGTCCTAATTTAGAAAAGATGAGACCAAACAATGACAAAATTATTGCTTATAAGCTTATATTAACCTCACATTATGACTACTTTTCTCATTTTGCTTTTTAGACATTATATACTTTCTGTGGTTATTTTAGATAAAAGTCCAGTAGAGTCTGCAGTAGCCAGTTCCCAGTTTCAAAACTGTTGGTAGAAGTGTACTCTTTTAAAACATGATAAAGTCTAAATTAAAATTGCTCCCTTTTCTTTGTAAATGTACTCCTCCAAAATCCTAAAAGTATAATATGTTTATAAGAGAGTGAGTATACAATATTTAGCTTATGACAAATGCTAATAAAATATCAACATTTTTTCTGAGTTACTAATTAGGTAGCCACTCATTAATGGAAATCATTATACATTTGTGAAAGTTTGTTATCACACTGATGTTTTATGTGTTATAAGATCTTAAAATGCAAAGGGAAACATATCTTTGTGTGAGATTTCTAGACCACTGTCAAATGTTATTCCATCAATCCCACCCATTGCCAAAAAGACCTCAGGAAGCATAGACTGTAAATGTATTTTATTTTGTAAGTAACAATCAAAATATATTTGTGCTACTGATTTTTTCAAATATTAAATGGGATCTTAACAAAATTTGTCCACTTTGATGTACTCATGTATAACTTTAGAATCTGCAAAGACCCTGACTAAAGAAACAGAAGTAATTGCACAACTGAGACTGAAGGTGTTACGGTGCTGCAGATGATGCCAGATGTCTTACATTTAGCCAAGTACACCTTCAGAGGTCCCTTGATTTTGAGCATTAGGAACAACAGAGGAATATACACTGAAAGCATCATCAATAGCGTTTTTCGTTGCTTTATTTAAATACGACAGTATCCAACATAGCTGCTAAACACTGGACAATATTTGAGGTCATAAGTACATCCACATGTTCCTCCAAATGACGTTTGGGGTCCTAAAAGAGCAAAAATAAGGAGAGAGAAAACAGAACCATATTATTGGTAGATAAATTACTTAAATTTTTTTCAGTAGCCGATGAAACTGGTAAAGAAAGCCAGACCTAACTTAAATATTTCACAATTTAACTTTACTAGTATAT